CTCAAACTTACAGAGGGTACATAATGGGTCCAGGGACTGTACTCAACATTACAAAGGTACATAATGGGTCCAGGACTGTAGGCTCAACATTAAAGAGGCACATAATGGGTCCAGGGACTGTAGCTCACAGTACAGAGGCACATAATGGGTCCAGGGGACTGTAGGTCATCATTAGAGGGCTATAATGGGTTCCAGGGGACAGTTAGCTCAACATTACAGAGGTTACATAATTTTGGGGGTCCAGGGGACTGTTCCTCAACATTACAGAGGTACATAATGGGTACAGGACTGTACCTCAACATTACAGAGGTACAATAATGAGTCCAGGGACTGTACCTCAAACATTACAGAGTACACATGGGTCCAGGGGGACTGTAGCTCAACATTACGCGGCACATAATGGGTCCAGGGGACTGTAGCGCTCAAAATATACAGAGGTTACATAATGAGTCCCAGGGACTGTTAGCTCAACCATTACAGAGGTACTATAATGAGTCCAGGGACTGTACCTCAATATACAGGAGGTACATAATGGGTCCAGGGACTGTACCTCAACATTACAGAGGACATAACGGGTCCAGGGACTGTACCTCAACATTACAGAGGAACACTAATGGGTCAGGGGTGTAGCTCAACATTACAGAGGCACATAATGGGTCCAGGACTGTAGCTCAACATTACAGAGGGCACATAATGGGTCCAGGGACTGTAGCTCAACATTACAGAGGGCACATAATGGGTCTTCCAGGGACTGTAAGCTCATCATTACGAGGCACATATGGGTCCAGGGACTGTAGGTCACATTACAGAGGTAATAATGGGTCCAGGGACTGTAACCTCATCATTACAGGGTACATAATGGGTCAGGGGACTGTTAGCTCAACCCATGCCCTACTGAGGCACATAATGGGTCCAGGGACTGTAGTCAACATTACAGAGGTAAAATGGGCCAGGGGACTGTACCTCAACATTACAGAGGCTACATGAGGGTCCAGGGACTGTACCTTCAATACAGAGGTACACATGGGTCCAGGGACTGTAGCTCAACCTTACAGACGGTACATATTCGGTCCAGGGGACTGTACCTCAACATTACAGAGGCAATTCATGGGTCCAGGGTACTGTAGCTCCATTACAGAGGTACACAATAGGTCCAGGGACTGTTACCTCAACATTACAGAGCACATATGGGTGCAGGGACTGTACCCACCATTAAGAGGCACATAATGGGTCCAGGGACTGTACCATCAAACATTACAGAGGCACATAATGGGTCCAGGGGACTGTACCTCAACATTACAGAGGAACATAATGGGTCCAGGGGGACTGTACCTAACATTAACAGAGGTACATAATGCGTCCTGGCATGTGCTCAACATTACAGAGGCACATAATGGGTCCAGGGACTGATAGCTCACATTACAGAGGCACATAATGGGTCCGGATGTAGCTCAACATTACAGAGGGCACAATAATGGGTCCAGGGGACTGTAGCTCTACTTACTGAGGTACTTAATTGGGTCCAGGGAACGTACTAAACATTACGAGGTACTTAATGCGTCTGGGACTGTACCTCAACATTACAGAGGTACATAATGTGTCCAGGGACTGTACTCAACATTACAGGAGGTACATGAGTCCAGGGACTGTACTCAACATTACAGAGGTCACAATGGGTCAGAGACTGTAGCTCAACCTGTACTAGATGGTCTAATCGGTCAGGGACTGTACTCCAACATTACAGAGGGCACATCATGGGTCCAGGGACTGTAGCTCAACATTTACAGAGGTACACAATAGGTCCAGGGACTGTACCTCAACATTACAGAGGCCATTATGGGTGCGGGACTGTACCTCAACATTACAGAGGCACATTAATGGGTCCAGGGACTTGCCCCCCCCAACACACCCCCCCCCCCCCCCCCCCCATACCTCAACATTACAGAGGCTCATAATGGGTTCCAGGAGGACTGTACTCAACATTACAGAGGTTACATACTGGGTCCAGGACAGTACTAAACGTTACAGGAGGTACATAATGCGTACTGGCACTGTAGCTCAACATTACAGAGGCACAAATGGGTCCACGGACTGTAGCTCAACATTTACCAGAGGCACATAATGGGTCCAGGGACTGTAGCTCAACAGTCAGAGGCACATAATGGGGTCCAGGGACTGTTGCTCAACATTACAGAGGTACATAAATGGGTCAGGGACTGTACCTCAACATTATAAGAGGTACATAATGAGTTCTAGGGAACTTACCTCAACATTACGAGGTTACATAATGTGTCCAGGGACTGTAGCTCAACATTAAGAGGCACAGAAGGTGTCCAGGGACTGTACCTCAACATTACAGAGGTACATATGAGTCTAGGGACTGTACTCAACATTACAGAGGTAATAATGGTGTCCAGGGGACCTGTAGATCAACATTACAGAGGTACTAATGTGTCCAGGGACTGTAGCTCAACATTACAGAGGTTACATAATGGGTCCAGGACTGTACCTCAACATTTACAGAGGCACATAATGTGTCCAGGGGGGACTGTACATAAACATTACAGAGTTACATAATGGGTCCAGGGACTGCTACCTCAACATTACAGAGGTACATAATGTGTCCAGGACTGTATCCTCAACATTACAGGGTACATAATTGTGTCCAGGGACTGTAGCTCAAAACATTACAGAGGCACATAATGTGACCAGGGACTGTAGCCTCAACATTACAGAGGCAACATAATGTTCCAGGACTGTACCTAACCTTACGAGGCACATAATGTGTCAGGGGACGGTATACCTCAACCATTACGAGGTACATAATGGTCCAGGGACTGTACCTCAACATTACAGAGGTACATAATGTGTCCAGGGGTTGTAGCTAAAACATTACAGAGGCAACATAATGTGTCCAGGGACTGTAGCCTCAACATTACAGAGCACATAATGTGTCCACGGGACTGTACCTCACATTACAGAGGCACATCATAAGGAACGCCCTTGGATGGGAACGTATATGATTGGATTCCTCTTTTCTGATTCTTGGCAAGCTTCCTGATGTTTAGTTGGTTTAAACATTAACCTTTGGAATGTTTGAAAGGTAAAAAAAGTTTTTTGGGTTTTAAACAAAAACTTGAATTTTGAAAGGTTAAACAATGTTTAGTTGGTTTAACTTTAAACCCTTAAAATAGTTTGTAAGGTAAAACATGTTTGTTGGGTTTAATTTTAACCCTTGAATGTTTGTAAGGAAAAAAATGTTTAGTGGTTTTAACTTTAAACCTTGTTTATTTTGTAAGGAAAATGATGTGTTGGGGTGCTGGGTCGTTTTTTTTTTAGATGCAGCAGTTGTCTGTCTTTTTTTGATAAAAACGTTTCCCCAACAGGGCTTTTCAGTCAAATCAAAGGGAGTAGTAAATTAGAAACTGTGCAACTCTTGGGTACTTTGGGGAACTTTTTGCCACCATGGTTCATCAGTCCTTCAAAGGAGGATCTTGAAGAACAGGGGGTTGAGGTAATCAGTATTGTGGCGAAACGTTTCTAAATAAAGTCCCCCAAGAGTTGCACATGGTTTTTAATTTTTTCAATGTCGGTTCTCAAACCATTCATCTAAAAACAAAGGGGAGTGTTGAAAAAAAGTGGTGTTATCAGTCCCTAACCTTGGAGAAAATATTTGAGGTGGTCAGTCCCCCAGCTGGAGGTGATTATGAATGATTACAGTAAAATTCGATTTCTTTTATTTTTTATTTTTTTATTTTATTTTTTTTATTATTACGTACTAATTTATGTTAATCTTCCTTAATTGTTGATAATCTAAAAATACTAATTTATTGTTGATTATAGGCAGTAATATTGAGAAGGTTTGCTAATGTTTGGGGGGTCCATAATCGGTGCTGCGCACTCAGCTCACCCCAAAAGGGGTGTGGTTCGCCCCGGTCGGCGATCCAACCAAGGGGTTTTCCTTAAGACACCTTAAGGGCGAGGTGTCTTTCCCTTAAAAAAAACCCCCTAAAACGCAGGTGTTTTCCTTGACCCTTTAAAACAGCAGGTTCTTTCCTTAAATCACCCCTGTGCCCATTCCCTAGCGGGTTTAAAAAGGTCCTGGGTGTTTGTCGGGTGGTGTGGGTAAATCTGGGTGTTTGTGGACGGGTGGGTCCATTCGGGTGTTAGTGGACTGGTTGGGTCAAATTTTGGTTGTTAGTGGACTGGTGTGGTCACATTTTGGGTGTTTGTGGGCTGGTGTGGGTCACTTTTTGGGGGTTTTTGGGTATGGTGTGGGTCCATTGGTTGTTGTGGATGGTGTGGTCACATTCGGGTGTTTGTGGGGGTGGGGTCACATTTGGGTGGTTGTGGGATGGTGTGGGTACTCCCGGGTGTTAGTGGACTGGTGTGGGTCACATCCTGGTTGTTGTGGACTGGTTGCGTACATTCGGGGTTAGTGGACTGGTGTGGGTCACTCCCCGGGTGTTTGGGATGGGGGTGGGTAATCCTGTGTGTTGTGGATGGGGGGTCACTTTTGGGGGTTAGTGGGTGGTGTGGGTCCATTGGGGTTTAGTGGTGGTTGGGTCACATCCTGGGTGTTAGTGGATGGTGGGGTCAACCCGGGTGTTGTGGACTGGTGTGGGTACCCTGGGGTTGTGGACTGGGGGGTAATTTCCCGGGACAAAAAAATGACAAAATTTTTGGGAAAAGCTGTACTAACAAGCGACTTTTATTGTGTAGTCAGATGTCAGCTATGGTTTTACCTTGTACATGTATGTATACCTTGTAATGTATGGTTTTTCCTTTTACAGTATGGTTTCCCGTCATGTATGGTAAAACCTTGTAAAAGTAGGTAGTAAATAATGATATTAAATACTTATAAGGTATGTTTTAAGGGGGCCCGTGTGAATACCTTTTTTCAAAACCCCTTAAAAATAATTTAATAATAATTAATAATAATAATAATAAAATATAATAATAATAGTATTTTTGTTTACAGGTAGGTTGAGTGTCCACGTATGGCTCCCCGACCCGGTGCTGACATGGCTGCTGCCCCCCGTGATTACAAAAAAGGTAAGTCATTTCCCCTTGTGCTTGTGTTTTTTTGGTAAGTTTCTCCCAAATAAAACTTTTTGTTAAGTTATGAGTAGTGTGTAAGTTGATCCTACCCTTTTATGTTTAAATTCCTCAGATAGTGTGAAGTTTTTTTGTTCTGTGTTAAGTTTGTCGAACATTAAACGCTGGACCCCATCTTCACTAAGAACGCGTTGTTCGTATGTAAGACAATAGACTAGATACAAATAAAGGTCCAGAAATGATAACAGGTTCTGACTGCAAAATAGGTCAGTATGAGGGTTCTTTACAAAAATTTAACTTCAGTAACAAAAA